TGACTGAATTCTCTAAGAACCTACAGCAGTCCGTATTGGATTTTGCGAGCTCGTACTGGTTTACCAAATTCTGAAGAACCCAAACCACATTAGCCGTCCTGCCCTGGAATTGAACCACAACACTAAACTTAGAGGTCACATTATGAAACGGACAATTCAGTATAGCCGGCTTGAATGTCGTAGAAACTACTTTTATCTATGCGTATGCTAGCCTTGGAACGCACTCCCTAATTATGTCGTCTCTGCTCCCAATCTGGCGTTATTTAAAAATGTGTTGACGATGCAATGTCTCACTTACATTTCATTTTATGGTTTGTTATCCAGGGGCTGCGAATCGCCATCAATCAGTGTCTTGCTAAACGCCTAACCAAGGATTTGTGGATTAATATGATTAATACGTGAACATCTCCGCTATTTCACATAATTATATGGTGAGTCCTCCACAACGCTTTTCACTTTATTATGCAATTGAATTTCGCAATAAGTTCCATCTAATGGTACTTTATAAGCGATGGTTTTTAACACTATAAACCATTGTTCCATTGTTCCAAATTACTTGGCATGATCTTCAGGGTTAGTTTACCGATCAGCTGACTATCATGTTTGCACTGTTGTACAACTGTTGCTGATTTGCGTAACAACTATATATTTATCTATATTTATTTGCTTTGCATTTTATTACTGATTTTGTGATATTATGAATAAAGACAAAGAAATCCATCGGATTGTGCGCAGGAAGCCAATATAAGTTCCTGAACCTGCTACTCTTGGCTATTATAGCTCCAAATCAAACGTACTTAGGAAAACATATTATCGTTCACATTTACTTATTGTTACAGACACGTTCAAAGTGATAACTGAATATTTAAATGGGTGAGTGAGCAGGTCGCATCATCCACTTCACAAACGGTCTATAAGATGTCGGACTGCAACAATTGTATTGATGTATATATAATTATTTGCAATAGTACTGTTATTTTCATAATACTGGCCTATTTGGTTTTGGTTGCGTCACAACATAATTTTGTAGTAACTGATGAAGCACCAAATGTGCAGTGCAGCACATCAGTCTAACAATGGTTGTCAAGCGTTTGAAACAATTGGTTGATGCTCCCACTGGCAACCTAAATTATGCAGTCATTCGCAAATTGGAGATAAGGCTACAGAACCCGCTGCAACTTATACACTCCGTTAGTAAACCCAGGGAATCGTTGGTGCAGTAGATGAATGCTTGTATTTTGGAGCGAAACGCATCCTTCTGTCATTGTATTGATGTGCAAAAATGTATTGGTTGCTTAGTGGAGTAACTTGATTACTTTTTGGGTTTAATCCCAAGTGTTTCACAGCACTTCATAAATATTGGTTTTCTTATCAGAATGACTACCGTGTTACATCGATAGGATTGAGCAGACGCAGTACAAAATATCCTTGGGGAATAATTGCGTGCAACTGAAAATGATGAAAGTTTATATATATGCAAGAAAATTTACATGAGTATGATGGCCTTGGATTATAGCCCTTCTCTGATTGCAATAGTGTGTTTTCTAATCCATATACCCGCTCGTTTATTTTTCTGATGTCGCTGCAGTTAGACGACAAAAATGGTTTGTTTGTTCAAACATATTTTTTCTTCAAACGCAGGCAACCCTACTGTTTTCCTTTGCAACTCATGCATGTCTAGATGCACCTTTCATATATGTATATATATGTATGTATACATAGATATATTTATATTTATATAGAAAGTATGACGTTATCCGCATGAATACCTTGCACTTCACGAGGTATTATCTGGTGTAGACTGCAGGCATCAAACCTAGGCATTTTATGTTATATGGGGGCCTCTACCAAGTTAGACACAGGGTCAAGAGGCGCAACGCTTAGCACAACTGTTAATGACTAATTGCAGAAGCGCTTCAAATATATAATGTTACTTATCACAGTCCCATTTTAACCCAATAGATTAATAAAAAATATACTAGGTGCAATTATATGAGCTCATAATTATCTTTCATGTTTTGTGGTTGATGAGAAGCGAAAAATTAAGTTTCTAATTTTTGGCAAGTCGGTTTGACGACACTTCCTCGTCGACTAATTGAAATCAGTTGGTTACAGATTCCATCAACAATCACTCTTATCCAAAGCAATGCTGCTACAGCGAGTCGCTAGTGTACATGTCTTGAAGGCAGCTGTCACTCCAGTACAGCCGCTATGGTTCCGATTCCAAGGACGTACGCGACCTAAGAACCGCAAGTCTCCACAGCCATACCCCGAAACTGGATTATATATATATATAACTATTGCTGGAAATTTTGAGGTATGTTCTAATGAAAAAGCGGTTCATTGTACAAAAGTTAAAGTTCTGTACCAATGTTTAGCTGGACTCTCCATATTCATGCTTTTCGTTGCTATTCAACTAAATCCCTGCCAAACATTTTCCGCAGTGAACGTCTCATTAGTCTTTCCGTCGCGATGTCGTCTAAACTATGATGGTGAACTGCTTAAAATAAGCAAGAAAACGTTTTCAAACTTACGGTGAATGACAGCATTTATGATCGTTATATTGAAACACAACAAATGCCAGAAGTCTCAGTAGCTTTTTCATTAGCGCCGGACAAGTTCATGATAAGCACAGTCACAGATCCGACAAGCTGCTTAGTGCAACAACCGGATACCAAATAACAGTGACTAGTTTAGCACTAGTAAAATAAACGATGGACATAATGAACAATGGGAAGTGATTTTGAAGGGTAAAGGAGCAGTTGCTTGACATGTTTCTTATGCTTACTGAAGTAAAAAATGAAATTATATGAAGCAAATGATAAGCGAACCGTCAGTTCGAGCATATTCCGATTCTGCTGGACTGCCGCATAACGATACATCTAAATGTTTAATTACATATTTGCACCCAAATAATAAGGAATTCAATTATAGCTCAAGTTCTCAGTAAAATATTAAGATAACTTAGAATGACAACGCATGAATTTATGTTGCTTTATTGAACCCTTGAAAAAAGTAAATTCATTTTTAGTAGATTCAGTTTAATGGAATAATTTTTGGTGCAATTTTGCTTACAGCACTCTGGCAGTAAGCGCTGTCAAAGACACAGTTGGTTCGCGATATTTCCTTCTCCGGGTAGAACGTACTACATCGAGTAATGTAAGTCCAACTTCGCGGCGTCAATCCAAAGGCAACGATGAGGCAAGACGGAAAGGCGTTGCATGTTCGAGGATTCCGGAAGAAACGGTTTCTGCAATCAAACCAACTCTAGTGTGTCGCAAGTTGGAACTGGTGGCCACTTACTTTGGTATTTGGGATCCGTTGCAACCGGTCGCAACTGGCTTGATTTGGATTTGTTATACTGGTAAACCATGATGATTTCTCCTCACTTTCGCCGATAAGCACAACCATAAATAACATTACGCACAATAAGCACCACTCACGTGAACTACGGTCTGCGTTAGTATGGCAGGTGAAACAACCTTACAACGAGTTTGGTCGCTGTCCTTTCGGAACTTTAGCTGCATGAACTTCATGCTTGCACCATTCATACCGGTCCACGGTAGCGGATTCCACGTAAAGTCTCATGCACGCGTACAACGTCTGCAAAAATATGAATAACTCAAAGTTTTCAAAACTTCTTCGCATGAGTCCGGATTGCTGACTGGCTCTTTTCCATGCCACTTAAAACTGTTTCGAGTGGAAAATGTAATTCTCACGATTTCTCTAAGGTTGCTTTTCTGGGAAGCCATTTGCAGCTGCTGGTTCCACAGTAGAAGTTCACGAGGAAGCTGATGGCGTATGTTTACGACCTCCTTTTCCTCATTTTTACTCGAGCCGGTTTTCAGATGAACACTCACAGGCGCTGTCAAAAGGGCTTTACCGGTGATGTGTGATCGATCATTTTCCTGATGTAACGCCAGCTTTTGTAATCGACTGCAATTATTAGGAAATTTTGATTGTACTACACTAACAAGATGCATTAGAAAAAATAACTATTATGGTGCTCCCATTTATGATGCGTATGGCACCATTCACTGGACATCAATGAGGACAGAAATGTAGTTGCGTACTCTATCTTTTCCCCATTTTCTCCAAATGTGGTTCTAACTGGTGGACGGAGTAGACGGTTTATAAAACGAACGCACGATTTCCAATATTGCAAATAGGTGTGCTTAGTCTATGTTCCAACATTGTGGAAACCTGCATTTTGTCAAATTGTTGTTAGAGCACTCGAATTAATGTTTCCGCGATATTTAAACCAATTGCATTCAGTTAACGTTTCTGATATCGTTCATACAAAGATATCTGTGCAAGCGCAAGGACAATATATGTTTCACCACATTTGCTGCTGTGAACGAGAATTTTCACGGAAGTGATTATCTGGAATCAGCCAAGCAGCTAACCCTAGCACATTTGGGAGAAAACCAGAATGTATCAGTACCAATTTAAGCACGCTTCCTGACAGTTCCTTTCTTGCCGCTTTGTGCTTGCTACTATAAGACAGTGGAAATTAAATGTCATATAAGTAGTCACTTGACGCGATACCTATAATCTAACATTTTACGAACACAATTTCCTTTCATTCGCTTGATGCTAAATGTCGGTATGTTGCGTACATATGAACATAACTATTAGGTTCAGGCATGTTTAATTGACGCGCCATGGAGTAGAAAATGCAGACTGACTACATGAGCATGAATGAAGTTTGTATCATTGTTGCCGTATGCATTTATATTTGATGAGTTGAAATGTTTATCTTCTGGGTTGATGAAAGCGCTTGGATACCTAACCATGAGGAAACTATTGTTTTTGTTATATACGGGACGAGTTGCTGCAAGTTCCAATAGCAGCGTATCATATGTTTACTAGAGTTATAATTTCTCGTATTCCTCTGCAATTTGTAAGCTTGTGATAATAGGAGGAGCAACACGCAAATTAAACTTTACTCGCAAGAGCCATAAATGCAACCGGAGTAACTGTTGCTTCCGTGTTGGGTTATGTGTGTTCATCCACAGCAGCATGGTACATGCAGTCTGTATGGGCAAAATCTGTGTAACGGTTCCGCTCGTAAGTAGCAAAATGATGCTTGTTGTTGTTCTGATGTGTTGTTAGTCTATAATGTGTACAACGTAGTAGCCGTGGACTTAAATCATCTGCAAAACGAGAGTAGGTTAAAATCAGTCGATGTATGTATGGTGTTAGAGCAGCTTAAAAATATCTAGTTTAAGTGTAAGTTGGTTTAGCCCAACTGATGTAAAGGAGTATCAAGAACGCAACATCAGCATCAGCATGGGGCACATATACTTACATGGTAGGCAGATAAATTTCATTCCACTTTATTTGGTTTGTTCTGCCTACCTGAATAGTTTTCTATTAACTGGCCACATGGCTTGGCTAATTGCGCTTATCTCCGGTAACTTTGTTGCCTTTGTAGCATTTTTAAGTAACATGTGGACAGATTTTACTTATCGCGGAATCGTTTCTAACCAACTTTATTCACTTGCTAATATAGCGAAGAGTTATGAGATCATATATGTTTCCATTATTAAATTTATTTCAATTAATCTTGTTGTTTCAAGTGATTGGATGTTGCGTGATTTCCACGGTGTGGCTGCGCTTTATGTGCATTTTGACAAGGTGCCTACCCGTCTATTACCCACTAGCTTGTATATACTGGCTCCAGGAGACAGTTTATCGTTGTTGAAGGGGAATGGGGCGTACGGTGTTTGTAGTACTGTTAAACTCGTAGAGGGCTCCCATGAACACTTTGTGAAGCGAACTACCATCCAGCCACCGCCTAGTGTGCGGTTGATTCCCCAAATACAACTTCTTTTTTTGTCTGTGAAGGAATGTGGGCAAGTGAAGTTCATGAAACGGCGACTTATTTGGGACCTCCTTTGCATTAAAAATGAATGGTGGAAGGAAAAGACGAGACAGATGGAATGCTACGCCAAACACCGCCAACACATTGAATTCTTTGACTTCATATTTGCGGTGTACGGACCGAGATTAGAGCCGTTAAGGACGGGGATAAATGGTAGTACAGGCTCTACCTACACACAGACTGGACATAATTTAGTTGTTGGCAAACATACATTGTGTGAAATTTGAACAACCGTGCAGAGTTTGACTGACGCAGTTTGAACGGTCTGGAGGAGCACGAAGTGAAGGCGAGTCTGGCGGCCACGCTGACACTGGATGAAACACAGAGAGCTTCTGCTAAGCTACGAAACGGCAAGTGTGCCGTTGCTGACGGGATCCTGCCTACAGTAATAAAACACGGCGGACCGGCGTTGGTGATTGCGCTGCACTACTTGGTGAAGCGCGGATGGATTGAGAAGGAGGAGCCTCCTGAGCTGAAGGATTGCCCTTTTGCTACCATTATACCAGGACAAAGGTAGCAAGCAATGTTGTACTAGTTTTCGTGGAATCAACTCGCAGAGGTTTGTGGGCAAGTTAATTGCCCCCATTTTGATCTAGCGCTTCGTCAATCAGGTTGTTGAACCTAACGTGAAGTAAGAGCAGTATGGATTCCGTTCCGGTCGCAGCACTATAGTTATTGTGTTTGCTGTTTGTTCGTTGCAGGTGAAGTTCAGAGAGAGACCCTAGCGGTTGTACTCGTAGTTTGTTGGCTTCACCAAGGCATTTGATACTATGAACCGCGAGGCATTGTGGCTAGTGTCAGGTGATTTTGGTTGTCATCATAAGTTTTTAATTGTAAATTATTGTCTGCAAGGTGGTATGCTGGCGAGGTTGTAGCTGAGTGGCAAGATCTTGTATGAGTTGGTCGTTATCTCAGGTGTGAAACAATCCGTTTCCTAGCTCCTGCCCTGTTTGATATACATCTTCATGCAATGACGTATTGTGTTTTTGCTGTCGCTTTTGCTTACGGTGTTCGTGTGGAGCACTCTATTGATGGTGATATGCTGAACATACGTCGTTTCGGGGCGAAAAACATTGTCTGTGAGACAAATATCTGTACGTTGCTGTTTGCTGACAAATGTGCGTTGTTTGCACAGAACGTGGATGAGTGGCAGCACATGAATAATGATCTGGCTTTGGCAGTGTCCTAATTCGGGTTCACTAGCAACACAATCAAATATTGGTAGAGCAGCGGACCGAAAATCCGTAGGTGCAATGTTCGATTCCCCGTCGAGGCAGATAATTAGGCAAAGTTTAATTGTGGCTTCTACTCTCTAAAATCAACACTTCTATCTCTTTCATCCTTCACCGTAGGCAGAATTTACAATATTGATTCTGCTACCTGCGGAGTGCAATGTCGACTAACAGCTACACAGTGAGCTGCGCATCCGCGTTTCGAAGGCAGCGGCAGCATGCTGGAAACTAGAGTACAGATTGTGGAACAATCATCAGTTTGATATGGGCACGAAGCTAATGGTGTACAGATCCATGGAGCTATCCGTTCTTCTATACGGCAGTGAAACGTGGACGAGTTGCCATCGAAATGTGCCATATCTCAAGCAGTTCTATCAACAGTGTTTGCGACGGATTCTGCGTATTGGATGGGGTAACAGAGTTGAAGACAAGGAAGTGTTGCGCAGAAGTGAAATGTATACAGTGAACTGCATACTTTTGCGGAGACACCTATGGTGCCTCGACGCTGGTACCGGAAAAACGATGGTAGGGTCAGCTTAGCATGGATAACCGTCATGCGGGTTAACATTAGCTTTGTTACCAGGACATGATCAACTTGAGCCTCACATTTTCATCTTGACTCTAAGTCATTGGAATCGAAGGCCATTTACCGGCGTGCGTAGCATAATCTGCGCACAAAGGCAGTTGTCGAAGTACGGGAGAAATACCTTATACCTGCAGAGAAGCGGCAATTGCGGAAGCGGCAAGCACCGATCAGTTGTACTTCATCGATATCGAGCGCAGGTTGCTGTAGAACAAGCGGTGGCGAGTGCCTGAGTAAGGCAGACCAGGTGAGCCATGAGAGGGTCCATTCGGCAGGACCAGCGAAGCGACAACGGGTTCTGCATAGAACGTAGGCAGAACAGGCGGTCTGTTAGTAAGTACGTTGAGTTCAAGTTACTAACCGCGTGTTCTCATGCTGTGTTTCGTTTTATCAATTGGTGTGTTTCCTTTATTTTTCTAATGCTTTTTTATCTTATAGTAATGTCTAACTGAACTATATTCTATAAACTTGGACACATCACTTAAGATAATTGTAGTTAAGTTAGATAACATATTCGCGGTTGTGGCATTTTCTTAATATATATTTTCTGACTTATTGAAAATTTCGCGGAATTTGCAAACAATTTATTTCACACACTTTATTTCATGATTTTGTCACCATATCTATGCATTATTCGATTAATTGTATTCTATATCGTTGTTTCAACTGATTAGTTGTCGGTTGATATCTCCGCTGCAATTGCGCTTAATGTGCTAGTTCTGAAGGTGCCTGCCTGTATATCACCCACTACCTCGTTCAGGAGACTGTTGGTTGTGGCCGGCGTGGACGGAGCGCACGGTCCTTGTGGCCGTGCTAAGCCCAAAGCGTGGTTCCATTCACACAGTTTGCAACGGACTACGGTCCAGCCACCGTCTTTTGTGCAATGGATTTCCCAATACAGCTTGATTGTGTTTGCCTGTGAAGGAGTGTGTGCCGGCTCCGTTGACGAAACCTGCCTCCCATACACATGCCTAAGGGTCCAACTGATCCGGATTTACACTGGCTACGCCGTAGACGGTTAGATCTGTGGTTGATGCAGTGCAAACCAACCATGGTCCTTCTGTAGGCGCAGAGGTCTTGTGGATGTCCACCGTGACAGGCAAATGCGAAAACTGAGGCCCAAAACCATGTGATAATGTGCTTCATTCTAAAGCTTATACTTCATTCACCATGCGTTTTCATTGCTGTTTTGATATAACGGATATTACTTAAACAAATCTTTTTAACCTAGTCATTAAATATTTTGAAATTTTGTTTCAGCAGTCGTGAAATTCTAATGCAGATTACGTGCAACTTGCGTGTTTATTTTTCTCCGAGATATATATTTTGTTGTTTGGCATCCCAGGTGTTGCTGATACCTCACAGTCTTGTGTTTATTCTCTCAACAACTACAAACGTAGGTGGGGGGAGGTGGGATGGGGGGGGGGGGGGGGGGGGGGGCTGGGGGGGGGGGGGGGTGGGGTGGGGGGGGGGTGGGGTGTGGGGGGGGAGATGGCGGAGAGTGTATGGTTGTGTTAATGAAGTAATGGAAGATGAAACGGTAACACGTTGGGGGGGGGGGGAGGTGGTTGGGGGGGGGGGGGGGGGTGGGGTGCGCTGTGGGGGATGTAAAGGGGGGTTTAGGGTGTGTGTTGGATTTGTGTGGGTTTCCGATGAGGAATAATGTACGTGGATTGGAAGCCATTAACCAACAGTACTTCCAGAAACGAGCTGGTGTGGGGGGGTGAGTGGGGCTCAGAAGTGATGTTTTGTGATGTTGGGAAATGGGGGGTGTGGGCGTTGTGATAATGTGGACTTATCAGGTTTATGAGGTGATGTATATTGTTGATTTAATGCAGTAGAATGTACTAATATATCATAAATAAAGTGTGTGAAATAATTTGTTTGCTTATTCCGCAAATTTTCAATAAGCTCCAGAAATTATATAGTTTAAAATCCACTTCCCGCAATATGTTATTGTTACGGTTAGGTGTGGGATAGGGTGGGGGGTGTGGGTTAAATGTGGGTTTTATGATAGTGCAGGGTTCATGTACGAGACGATAAAAAAGCAAGATAAAAAAAAGAAAAAGCAAGATAAAAAAGCAAACACAATAATCAAAGTATAATTACTTGTTTTTTATTTCACTGCTTTGAAACACAAGAGTAGTAAACAATGACTAAACGTACTTACAAACAAGATCAAAGTTTCTGCTGCCTGATGATAAAGGCAAACCCCTAGTGACGCCTTAAGGTCCTGCCGAAATGGACCCTCTCATGGCTCCCACCTGTCGCCAGCACTCCCGGCACAACCACGCCACCACCTGCTTGATCTGTACCTAACAGCACACCTGCACCCACCAACCCCACCCTGCTGCTCCCCCGATAAATTCGATTGCAATTGTGGGGACCACCTTACAAATGCAAACGTAAAAATAAACCGCGCTAGCAAAGCGGAAGCACTCTCAGTGCTGGAGAATTGATTTGAACTTTCAAGCGGATAGCGGTCTTCCGTCGGTTATTTTTGGCTGTGTGGACAAGATCACTTTGTGTTAACTTTCTGCGTTCATTGGAAGTATTTCGTGGAAATTGAGCTACAATTCAGTTTCATTTCCGATTCTGAAATTTCCGACCAGGAAATACTTGTATTCATCGTTTGGTTTCGGCGATCTTGCTATCGCCACTTTCTTCGTCAATTGGCCGCCATCTTGTTTTCGGATTATTCGTAATGCCGAAGCAGTCATCCTGTGGTACTTGCTCCAAACTAGTCGGATACCGTGCAAATGCCCTCACGTGTGCATTTTGCCAAGTTAGATACCATATTTCATGTGTTGGATTATCAGTTGAGCATTTTCATCCGCCTTCGCGAGATCCAACACGATTTCGTCCAAACTATATGTGAAAATTGCCGAAATCAGATACAGCCAGAAAGAGTAAAGCCGACGTGTAGTCCTCAGCGTTTCGTTGCGAACAGCTCCGTGTGTTTGGCCCAACAACCTAGCGCGAAGAGCCTTCAGGTTTCGGCTCAGTCGTCCTCCTCTACCCGTGCAAACTCACTGACACGAAGTCCAACCGTTGTGAGAAGCCCAGTTGCACCTGGGCTAAATTGTTTACCTTTGTTGTGTCCACCGGACACTGATGTCCCAGCAGGTGAAAGTCTGAGTGCTGAAGACCAGTGGAAAGATCAGAGGACGAAATTACGAAGGAACGTTTAGCGTTTAGGTTCTGTAAGTCAACAGTTAGCCCAACCACTTGAGGCTGGTAGTATGCTTCGCCCAGCAAATCCAATCTCGTCCTACCAGAGGCGTTATAATCTCGTGCTATTTCACGCACCGGAGTCCAGTGTTCCATCACCCCAAGTACGCTACGATCACGATGTCGAGCTATTACAGGGTCTAATTAATAGACTCTTCGACGCTGGTGAGGACTCGGTAAAAGTGAGGCAGATTACCCGTCTTGGAAAGCAAGGTGATCAACATAATCGGCCTATGGGAATCACTTTTGTGGACGTAGCCAGTCCAAGACTTATCATGTCTCGCCTAAGTAGGCTGAATGGTTTGAAGATCCATGTTCGTACCGACCTGGACACAGTAGACAGGGAGCGGCTCAAGTCTGCCATCATTGAGTTGAAAAGACGCACTGGTGAGAGGGAAACAAATCTTCGTATCGTAAATTTTCGGGTGGTTTCCAACAATCCAAGAATCAGGATAAACAGGCTGCTCACACTTCATGAACACCCGGTGGCTCCTGCTTCGGCCTGCGAGTAGCCTTCACAAACGTTTGCAATATTATGAATAAGCGCGATGAGCTTTGTTGTTTCGTTGCGTCCGAGCGGCCAGACGTAGTGGGACTCGCAGAGTTATACACCCAAGAACTTGAACGCAACGGTTACTCGTGTTTCCGATGTGATAGACTAAAGAATGCCCACGTTGGTGTCTTACTTTACATCCGGTCTTCACTGAGTGGGAGACTTGTGAGCACCTACCGAAGTGACGATGGCCTGTGTGAGCTACTGTGGTGCTCCATCCGCCTCAGGCGCGGAGAACTGCTTGTGGGCGCAGTTTATCGCAGTCTCCTGAGTCGTTGTTTGGATTGGCTGCCCCATCTTCGGACCCACATGGGTCGTCCACACTTTCTGCTTGTGGGCAATTTTAACTGTCCTCGAATACGATGGCCTGATGTGCATTTGATGCCTGGACATAGTGAGGTTGAAGCAAAGTTCGTGGATTTGGCACTTGAAGATGGGGCATCGCAACACATATGCCAGCCAACACGCATATCAACACGTTCAACCTCGTCCTGTCTCGACCTGATGTTAACGGGCTACGAACCACGAGTGCGTGACGTTAGGATCCTGGAGCCCCTGGCTACGAGCGACCACTCAGTACTGATAGCTGATATGGAATTATCTTTGCCGTATTCACATCCGCTGCAACCAGCTCCCAACTACTGGAAAACGGACATCGATGGTCTTGCTCGAGCCGCGAGCCAACTGTATTGGTCTCTGTCACAAACTGCATCTGTGGAAGATGGTTGGATATTTATAAAAGAGAGATTAACATCCTTGTGTTCCAAATTTGTGTCATTGAAATGTCGAAAGGTTGGACCGATTAAGCCTCATTGGTTTGACAAGTAGTATAGAAACCTGGCTCGGAGGCGGCGCAGATTATGGGACAAATTCCTTCTCTCTGGCTCTGCCAATGATTACGAAGGGCATAAATCTCAGCGGAACCTCTGCAACAGTGCAAAACAGAATAAACGCCGACACTTTGAAGAACAGCTCGCATTAGCCGCGAAGACCGCCTCCCAAGAGAATCTTTGCATACGTGAATCGACGCCTGAAGCCGGCGGGTGATGTGCCAGTGCTGGATGGCACGGATGGACAGCCCTTAACCTACAGCTCTGAGCGTGCGTCCGCGTTGGCGGCGCACTTCGATGCTGTATTTGCGAATTACCAGATGTCTGTCCCGAGTTCGACGTATACCGCTTTTACCGAACTCGACAGTCTGCATTGCGACGTCGAAGATGTAGCCAAACTACTCGTCAACCTTGACGGCATCAAACCTGCCGGACCTGATGGGCTAAACCAACTGGTTCTCAAGTCACTTTCAACCATCCTCTCTACTATCGTGACTGACTTGTTCAACAGTTCGCTCTCCGAAAGTTTGTTGCCGGTTAACTGAAAATATGCGGTGGTGAAGCCTATTCCGAAAGGCGGCGACCCTAACAAAGTAGACAATTACAGGCCAATTTGTCTGACACCTATATTGGCAAAGGTTGCTGAGAAAATCGTGCAGAAGTGATTGCTGCAGTTGCTGACGTCAAACGAGGTCCTGACGCCCGCACAGCACGGTTTTATGCAAGGTCGCTCATGCAATACTAACCTGCTTGTGACGAGGCATGAGTGGCTGAAGGCAATAAACAAGGGGAAATCCGTCGACGTGATATTCATCGATTTCAGTAAAGCTTACGACAAGGTCAGTCATGAGGTTCTCCTTCACAAACTCAGCATGCGTGGCGTCGGTGGCTCACTGCACCGGTGGATCAGCGACTTTCTTTTGGACGAAAGTGGAGGGTACAGGTCGACGACCATCTAACTGACTGGTACCCCTCTACAATTGGCGTGTCTCAAGGCACTGTGGTGGGGCCCACTTTGTTCCTGATCCACATCAACGATCTACCGCAGCTTCTCCGGTCGCCGTGAGAATCGTTTGCGGACGACATGAAGATTTGGATAGAAATCGACGCACCCGATGACTGTGGCCTACATCAGCAAGATCTCAACCGATTATCCACATGGTCTGCAGAAGTTCTTCTCCTGGTTAACCCAGCCAAGTCCGTATTTATGAGCCTGTTGAAGGGTGCTAACGGCCGAACCTACACCCTTGACGGCCAAACGCTATATCCCACACCCTCCGTGAAGGACCTAGGTGTACTCTCGCGCTACGATTTGATGTCTGTGGACAACACGAACAGCCTATATCGGAAAGATCTGCGCATGCTTTGGGCGCTCGAACGTAGCTTCTGCACATGGTCTGAAGAGGTTGCCACTCGCCTGTTCTCTTCTATCATTAGACCAATGCTAGAGTACGGCTCGCCCGCCTACTTTCCGATTACCCGAGTCGAGACACAAAAGATCGAACGGGTCCAACACGTTGCTACCAGGCTCATCCCGAGTTTACGTGGCTTTGAGTATGAAGACATGTGCGAGAAACTAGGACTCTACACCTTGTCCTACCGTCGGGTGCGAGTCGACCTCATTATGACCTACCGAATTCTACATCTTGGTGAGTTCCCCATGTTAAGGCCAATGCTTCACTTACGAGGGCCATGCAGCACACGCGGACACAGATACAAACTTGTTGTGCCAGATATGAAACGTGTTCCCCACCCACTGTGCTTCGAACGGAGAGTGTAAACATTTGGAATAGTTTGCCCGAACATGTGATTGAGGCAACATCTGTGCAGCAGTTCAAAACGTTGTTAGATTTGTATTTTGACTCTATTCGATTCAGAGAACGACTGCACACTTACGATGACATCACATTTGTGAATCCTGAAATATCGTAAGCCGTATATTTTAAATATTACATGAGAACGACAATGCTATTCAAGGTTGATAAATTATATGACGTTTTTCACCATATCTCGAAAGAGTTGTGCAGAATCCACTTCTACTTGCTCTAT